CAGGAAGTCTGGTCTTTAGAAAGCCATTTACAAAACCGCTTTAAAGCCAATTACCCAGTGATCATTTCAGGAAAAGGTAAAGTTTGAAGGAAAAGAGGATTTATTTATTTTTTAAACTATCTGGTGCAGCTGAAAGAAACAGGTATTCTTTAAGGCCCCCAGGCATAGCAGCTAGCCTTCATTCTGCAATGGGTGGGCTGCCAAGACAGCAAACATCAAAACCACATGGGAAGGGGAGTAATCACAGCCATCTGACTGTTGTGTGTTTCAGATGGGATTCATACACTCACCTGTGCCCTGATGCTGCTAAATACAGACCTTCACGGCCACGTAAGTAGTACTCGGAGATGCATCCTTCTTTTTTTCCCTTTCCAGATTAGAGGCCTGTCCCCTTATGCAGGATGTGTTGCTGGAAAATTGAGATAGATCAGCAGAGAGTACTCTGACCAGCTCCAGCAGGAGTTTTGAGTGCCAAGCCCAGACCTGGGGACAGTCTTCTTAGTGTCACTCCACACTCAAGCCACAGGCATACATATCTCCTGCTGACACCAGTTAACTTATACGGGCACAGGCAATGCAGCTTTCTTCCCAGGACCTGTTGCATGCGTCAGCCCTGTCCCAGAAGCTCTCATGGAGGGGTCTTCACCACCAGTCTCTGTGAGGCTGGAAAACAGCAGCACCAATTGTGCTGCTGTTTCTTGTGGTGCTTCTTGTGGAGACTTGAGTCTCCTCTCATCCCAGAAACTGCTGCAAAGGAGTCAGTGGTTTCATACAGGTGTAGATTTCACCTTTCCTTCCCAAAACACAGAGTATGTCCCAGCTGTTTCTTTTCCCCTAGATGTAACAGACAGCCGCTGGAGAGTTTCATATCACAGAGGCCTCTGGACAAAGAGCAGGGTGAGCAGAACTCATTGCCCAAAGGTGTGGTTGAAAAACAGCAGAGGCTGTTAAGAAGATCTCTCACTACCTTTTAGAGGCTTTTTTAGGCAGGATAGGTTGGATTTGTTCCTAAAAGGTCAACCAGAGGGTAGAGAGGAGAGTGGAGTGGGAGGAAAAATAACTGCAGAGGGAAGATAGATGGGACTGAGCATAGAGGGCAGCACTGGGACATTGTGTACCCTTGGAGACCCCAGCCATAGTGTTCATCTGGGAGTATGCATGGACTCTGCAGCCTGCACAGTGCTGTGGAAGGGTGTAGGCACTGTTGACCCAGATCTCCCTGCTCTCCAGCCTTATGGTGTAGGCATAGAGCATGTCTGTGAGCATCCTTTACAGGAGTAGAGGGGCTCCTCAAGTCTCGGGTCACTGAAGTACTTTCTTTCATAGCCCCTATGAAGCCCACACCTGGAGCCACAGAATCCCCAGAAGTTGTGTGAAGATGGAAAGGGCATGGGGGGACAGCTTATTATAGGAGCCTGTGCATGTGAAACCTTCACACCCTTTTTCTGCTCCATAATCCCATGATTTCCAAGCTGTATCATCAGAGTCCTCTTCTGCCTCCAGCTGGTAACAATTTGATTTGCATCTGCAGAGACTTCTCTGATTTTCTCTTTGTTTGCCTGCTAATGAGGGGATAGTAGGCTATAACCCTGCTCTTTTTTTGCATACTGGTTTATAATCATCTTTGAGAGGAGCCTTTTTCTGTGGGGGTGGGAAGAGGACACTGTATGAGTGCCCTTCACCTATGAAGGCAAAGATGCAAAGGCCACCAGCTTCACCTGTGCCACTCTGACAGTCCACCTGAGAGACCCTCCCTATCATTACAGCACAGATACTGCTTCATGACAAGGTTTGAACACAGCAGTCAGTGAAGGGAATTACTGGTTTCAGCAAGAGCATCCGTTCCACATGTGCACTGTGGCCTGCACCAAGCTGGTTACAGCTGTCGCAGCCTCATCCTTTGGGGAACAGGCAGCCTTTGACCAACGTTTACACTGGCCACTGGGTCCATTCCCACCCACCTGGTTGCCAGTAACATGTCTAGGCAAAGTGTCTCTGCATGCAGTGGGATAGCAGTGGGGACAGCTTCTGGGAGGGTCTCACCCAGCATTCATCCTTCAGCCATAATGGTTAGAGCCAAGGAAATATTTCCATCAAAGTATTTCCTGCAACAGCAAAAGCAGCATTGTGGCAGAAGGCAAACTATGCAACTTCACTCCAAAATAATCTTATTTTATTTATTTTTTTTAATTAAAAAAATCCAAAATATGTCTCTGGGAAGAGAGAAATAATTGAAAAGGCAAAAAAACCCCCTAAACCTCACCTTTCTATTTTTCATTGGCAAGCTAGCTAAGAGGCCTGGTAAGAAGAAACGATCTCATGCTATCTAGGCAAATTAAAAATACCTTTATTTTGCCAAGTGTAGAAATGTCTGAGCTTTTCACTGAAAAATCTTCTCTTTATTTTTCTGCACGTGTAACATTAATTTCTTCGTCTTCTCCTTCTCCTCCTTTTTTTTTTTCTTTCTTCTGCTCCTGGAACCTCTCTTTCTGCTCTTTAACCCTTTACCAGGTGGTAAGTGCAGTCATTCTAGTGGGGTTTTTTTAAAGCACTGCCATTTCACTTGTTTTTTTTCTGTGTTAAAAAAAAAAAAAGGTTTTTTGTTTGTCTGGATTCCTAAGTGGTTGTGCAGTGTCCTTCACTACTTAGCAACCCATTAGCAGCTGATATGCATCACATGAAATTCTCCTTGTGTAAAGAAACTTCCATAAACTGCAGTGTACTTGTGTGACTTGATCTCTCACCCCTTTTTGTTAAAGATGCTGTCATGATATTGCTTATCACTTTTCATTTTATTCCCTTTTTTAATATTGTGTGTGTGTTTCAGTGTTTTACCGTACATTGCAATTCCTTTGATTAGGAAAGGGTGGTTGATGTGTCTCTGTAAAGGGGCAGTTCCCTACAGCGTTGTCTCTAGAATGAGCTAGTCATTCCAGCAGTGACCATCACATATACTGATTTCAGGCTTAAAAGTAATGAGACTGGCTTAAAAACATGAGATTTGTACCTGGCCACACTGGAGTTTTGCCTTAGTCCTGTTGAGTTTCTACCACAGGTGCACTGAGACCCTGTCTCTAACTGTCCAGAAAACTTACTGTCTTTAAAATGAGACACTCCATTTTCATACAATCACCTGGAGTTGGTGTTTAAAAGCCAGCAGTCACCAACAAACATTACAAGCCTTGTAGTATAATCCAGATTGTTGGAACTCTCTACCTTGCTCTGCTGGTGCTGTTTGAGCTCCAGGAGATCTTAGGAAAAAGTAAGCACTCCTCTGCTCCATCTCTGCCCCTTGGAGACAAAGCTTTGGGATGTCTGCTTTTCAACCGTCAGTGTTATCCCTCCTTGTTCAGAACTGCTGGCCATGGAAAGATACTGATAAATCAACGCCTATGCATCACCAGCACTCACAGTTGCATTTTGGTACTTTAGCAAAGCCCAGCTTCTGTAGTCACATTGTAAGGTGACAAGCTTTAGCGTTTGTTCAAAAAGTAGGCCAGCAGCTCTCATGCCACTGAACAAAGCTTGAAATGGGATCCCTGGCAGCTCCTAACTCCACATGTCCATCACTATTAATCTTGCAAACCCTGTGATATTCTCCTTAAGCGAAGCTTATGGTTTGGTTTTAGCAATAGTGATTGTGTTAGTAACACTGGGAGAGCTGAAGAGCTCTGAGATAGGAGCAGCTGCTGGCATCACCTGCAGAGTGACACCAGTCTGCCCACAGCAGCTTTATGTGGCCCAGGGGTCGTTGGTACCCAAAGTTTGTGGTTTTTTTCACTGCAGCGGGGTGATTTTGTTTCTGCAGCCTAGAACACATCCACTACCAGATCCCTTGGTCCAGTCGGACCAAAGGCCCTCACTGCACTTCAAAGTATAAATGTAGTTGTTTGTGGTTTTTCCCCTGAAGATGAGTATTTGGGAAGAGGTCAAAAGAGCGTGAGTGAAAACAGGGCCTGCTAGGGGCATGATGCTCATGCTGGGAAGTTCACAGTCACCACTTTGCAGCTGAGACGTTTGATGCCTGGGGCCTCCAGCCCACAAGCTCAATTGGTTTAATATCTCACAGAGGGAGTACTGGGGGCAGCACCCCAGATAGCCACCTTTTATTGCCTCTGGCCCCCAGGAACCTGGTTCTCCTCCTGGGCTTTCGCATGGCACCTGCTTTTCCCACTGAGCACCCAGCTCCATACTCACCTGCCCAGCCTCCTGCTGCTGAGAGGCAACAGCCATGGAATGCCGGGCTACACTCCAGAGTTTTCTGGAGGTGGATGGAGCTATCCTAGACACTTCAGGTGATGGTCTGCAATCATCTTAGGTGAATCAGCTCAGCAGCAGATGGCTGAGGCCCAGAGGAGGCAAGAAGCCAACTGTAAACAGGGGATATACACTTGGTTGAAACAATGGGATGGCAGGAACAGCCCTGTCTACCCGCCATCAGATCAGTCTCATCCTTCCTAAATTATTCTTTGTAATTTATTCTCTAACCACCATCATGCACCTTGTCTCTGCGTCTCTCCATTCTTGTACACTGTCTGCACTCATCCACCTTTGTCCACCCATTCCCATACTGTCTCTACCCATTCATCTAACTACCCATCCCTTCTCATCTATTTAATCCACTGTTCACTCACTTGCTGTCCATCCAAGCACACCATGGTGCTAGCTGATTATCTGACAGTGAATTCTCATGCTTTGCTGCATGGCCTGGAGAAAGCAAAGATAGGATGAAGTTCTTTTCTGCCAGGGGGACATTTCAGGAATAGTAGATACCTGAGGCTGTGAAGCAGCCTTGTTGGTTTGTTGTATTGCTGGTAAGTGACTGACGCACCACAAAAAAGCAAAATGTCCTCATCTGTGTGGCTGGCCAGAAATAAAGATGTATCTCCCTACCCAGACGTCCCAGTTCAGCAAGGGACATAGAAAATCTGAACACTGAGCTTTGAGGTGTGCAGATACATTCCCCTGGAGGTTATGTCCACATAAAATCATAGAGTGGTTTACGTTGGAAGGGATCTTAAAGATCATCTAGTTCCAACCCCCCCCTGCCATGGACAGGGACATCTTGCACTAGACCAGGTTGCTCAAAGCCCCATCTAACCTGGCCTTGAACACCTCCAGGGATGGGGCAGCCACAGCTTTTCTGGGCAAACTTGGCCGGTATCTCACCACCCTCAGAGTGAAGAATTTCTTCCTTATATCTAATCTAAATCTACTGTCTTTCAGTTTAAAGCCATTACCCCTGTCACTCACATCACATGTGATGATCTTGCTGAATCAGCAAGATGGCCTACTGCGTAAGAAGACACCCCACTGCACCTTCATACTGGCCCTTTCCAGAGTTGTTCCTGGGATTCCCCATACTTCCTAAATACTGTTGCAGTGTGTGAAAGCTCAGGCAGGCCCTGGTGCTGGTGCCGTTGATAATGAGGCGCTTGTGATCACAGAACTCTTCTTTTGTGAGTGTTGATCAAGTGAAGCTGCAAAGTCCTGTCCTGGAGTGGGTTTTTGTTTTCTCTATTCAGCTGGTGTTGATTTGGAGGCCCTTGCAGGGCTTTGTATTGGAGTGGCTGGCTCCAGCCCGTTTCTCAAAGCAGTGAGCTGAAGTGTTAAGATATTGTTGACTTGAGGTTGCATTGCATCTGAGCCACCCCAGCATCCTGTGCTGAATCCTACTGACAGCCACCCTGAATCCTGCCCCTGACTCTGCAGTGCTTCAACAACCTTGTCCAACAAGCTGATTCACAGGATTAGCATCCTTGCTGGAGCTTTCTCGTCACCTCTTCTGGTTGTCAGAGAAAGGGTATGTTTTCATCCCTCTCAATTGCTCAGCAATTAGCTGCTTTTCCACAGTGTGGCTGCTGTCTCGGTTGAGCTCTTCTTGTGCAAAAGAAAGAGACAGATCACAGAATAAAAAAGAAGCCATCCCCTGGGATTAATATACGTCCCAGATGCAATATGTGAGAAACCCAAAGAAGGGCCTGCAAGGCTAGTAACTTGTGCCACTTTATCTCACTGTATCCACTCACTTCCTAAAAATGTGTTGGCCTCTGCATTCCTTGCTGGATCACTGCAACAAGATCTCTGCAGGCAGAAAGACCTGTGCTGTGCACTCCGCCTTCCTGCCTCAAGGCAGGGGTTGTAGTAGTCACCTTCTCTCTATGCAAAGTAATTTGGTGCCTCAAGGTGTCTCAGGCTACATATCTACCTCACCTCCCAACTCCCTCCCTCATGGAGGTTCATTACTGCATTTTTTTATGCACTCTCTCACCCTCCTTTCTCTCTCCATCCACACACCACTGTGCTGCTGGCATGTTGCTTTTTTTGGCTGTAATTCACCAGCCAGCAAGTACACAAATCTCTCTTCCCTCTGTTGAAAAAACCTAGCGTGCCTGCAGGTTTCCCGGCAGCTCTTCTGCAGCTAGTCTACCCACTGAGCACTTGCTGGCAGTAGCCTCTAGCTATGGGGTCCACTTATGGGCATCTGCCGTGGGGCTCCCCTGTGAGAGAGCAAAGATGGCTGAGCCTGCGTGTTCTGCCGCACTGTGTCCCCAGGCACTGCAGATTTGTAACAGTGCTTTATCCCTCTTTGTCTTCATCTCTCAAGGGTGCCTGCTCATCTGGAGCTGGCACCAACAGGAGGCATAATTAAGAGTATCAGACAGAGCTGCTCAAAGGCAGCGCCGGCTCCTTGTGTACTATGTCTGCACACACACGGCAGGTATGGGGGGGGGCATTGTGGGCTAATCCCAAAGCCTCACTCTTTGCTGATGCTTTCACCTGGGGAGAATTCTGCCTCCAGGTCATTTGTTGTCCATGTTTGTGGGCAGGGGTTTCTTGTATCAGTCTCTGTCAAGAGGTTATTCTCCTGCACGGGTACGTATCTTGCCCTGTAGGGCATGTCCTATATCGTCTGCTGCAGCTTCATCCCCTCCCAGTTAACCAGTGAGGCCCTTCTTCCTCACTGAGTCCTTAAGCAGGGTCCTGGCTCTGCTGTTCTTGGCCATCCTCCCAAGTCCTCCTGGATAGCCACCCTGTCGGTACCTTCATGCAAAGCCCACCCAGCATCAGGATGCTGTTGGGATCCTTAGGACCACTGGTGGCAGCTCGTGCTCTCCTCTCACTAACTCCATTGTCCACTCCATGTGATGTCACCACAGTGTCCATCCTTGGGGACTTCACTCCAGGGTTGAAGGCTGCAATATGACATGGCAATGGAGACACCTATCTTTCCTTTGTAGTATCAGAATCCTTTTTCTGAACCCTACAAGTTCCCCTGACTCCTCTACACCTCTGCTCCAGTCCTTCAGAGAGGTAGAATCATAGAATCATAGAATAGTTTGGGTGGGAAGGGACCATTAAAGGCCATCTAGTCCAACCCCCCTGCCATAAGCAGGGACATCTTCAACTAGATAAAGTTGCTCAGAGCCTCATCCAAACTGACCTTGAATGTTTCCAGGGATGGGGCATCTACCACCTCTCTGGGCAACCTGTGCCAGTGTTTCACCACCCTCATCATAGAAAATATCTTCCTTATATCTAGTCTAACTCTTCCCTCTTTTCATTTAAAGCCATTACTCACTGTCCTATTGTAACAAGCCCTCCTGAAAGTTTGCCCCACCTTTCCTGTAGGACCCCTTTAAGTTTTGAAAGGCTGCAATAAGGTCTCCCCAGAGCCTTCTCTTCTCCAGGCTGAGCAACTCCAGCTCTCTCAGGAGAGGTGTGCCATCCCTCTGATCATCTTTGTGGCCCTCCTCTGGACCCGCTCCAGCAGGTCCATGTCTTTCCTGCGCTGTCATGGACAAGCCCGATACTTTCCCCCTTCCCACAGAATCACAGAATGGTCAGGGTTGGAAGGGACCTCTGGAGATCATCTAGTCCAACCCCCCTGCCAGAGAAGCGTCACCTACAACAGGCTGCACAGGACGGCATCCAGGTGGGTTTTGAATGTCTCCAGAGTGGGAGACTCCACAACCTCTCTGGGCAGCTTGTGCCAGTGCTCCACTACCCTCAAAGTAAAGAAGTTCCTTCTCATGAAGGGTAGGATTGCAGGGAGAGGCTTAGAAAGAGGCTGCCTGCCTCCAGCCCCTCGACTCTTGCAGTCTGAGAAAGTGATTCAGGGGTAAAGAAGTTGGGAAGTGCCACAGACTGATATCAGGGATGCCAGATGACCTGGCAGCACCAGCACCAAATAGTCTTGGCATTAGTGTGTTGATGATGATGAGTGTGTTCCAGGTTGCAAGAATCTCCCCGTGTACGTGTATTGCCCTCACATGCCACAGCACTCACGTTCACACGATACCAGTAGCTGAATCATCTCTCTTCGTAATGGCAATCAAAAATTATAGTTTCCGTGAAGGACGAGTCATTGCTCAATGCTGGCTATCTTCAGATGCTGACACTGCATGCTCACACCATTTCACACACGGCAGGCTTGGAGACCCATCGAAGCATTGGAATTTCAAGGCAGTGTGAGTGCTTGTCTTGAGTTTTGCGACACAGACCCTGTACCTGCACCAACCTGGAGACCAGAGGTGAGATCACTTAGAAAGTTTGGAGCAAAAGCCAGAGAGGTTATTTTCAGGTGTTTTATCTCCACCATTAAAAAATAGGTCATTTGAAACATTTGGGTGCTGGCATGAGCAAATAAAGCAAGGAGCCCAATAGAAAATCAGAACAGAAGACCTTTCAGCTTTGAGCTCTTGAGGCAAATGCAGGCTTCACTGCTTCATGTAAAATTGTTCTTTAAAAGACACTCTGAAGAAAGACAAAACTCTTCAGAAGTTTAATGAGCTGCTTCTTTGCCTTACAGAATATTGGCAAAAAGATGTCATGTCAACAGTTCATAGCAAACCTGGATGGGCTGAATGATGGGAAGGACTTTGCAAAGGATTTGCTGAAGGTAATGTGATATAAATAGACAGTGGGATACAGTCATTATTATTGTAGTGCCATCTAGTCCTGCTGGGGCACTCTGAGCACTTGGATCAGCATTTTCCAGTGCACAATTGTTTCATTAGAAGAATTGCAACCCATGTGGATAGCTTCTGCTAACTTGCAGTGAGCCACCAGAGGTCTGTTCCCTGGTGGTGTTTTGTCCAGATTTGTGGCATATCTGCCGTCAGAGCATACCAGGGGTCCCATTTCCCCACGGTAGCTCTGTGATGCCCCAGACAACACACAGAACAAGGTACCTCCCACCTCCAAATACGATCATCTGGCATTGATACTTTTCTCTGCCTTCACTTCCATGTAATTAGATGTGGTGGTCCAACACAACTAGTCCAGTACCATTGGTTAAACACCCCAAAGCAAGTATTTCCTCCTTCCACGTGGTTTAACACCACCACTGTTGTCTGCACCTGCTGCAGGTCCGGCAGCCTGACCTGGATTTTGCTGTATGGAAGGAGGTTGAAATGACCACTGCCACATCAGGGGTGCCACATCATGCTTTAGATGATGCCCCTGCCTCCCAGCAGACCTCACCCCACCCCTCAGTATGTTCAGGGCCGCCTCCCCATTCTGCTTTCCTAGCCCTTTCCTGCTTCTTTTCCAGTGCCCCTGGGAAGCCACTGGAATTTGCCACAAGAAGAACTGGAAAAGCTGATCCCCAAGGTCATTCATCCCTCCCCTGCTTCTCAGGGCAGTGTTCAAGCCTTCACTGTCCCTTTCCCCTAGTTGAGACACTGGAGGTGTCTTGGCATACCCCAGGGTCTTCTGCCATCTTTGTGTAGGCCAGGATTCACTCAGGACTAGGTGCAGCACCCAGAATTAGTAAAAAATGTCATGTACAAGCTCCTGAGCAAGGCTGGATGCCAGACCTCTCTGCTGATGATGTGTCGAGTCCAATACCTGGTGTGGCACATAGACAAAAAAGAGTGTAGCAGGACAGCAGTTGTCCTGCTCACTGGTGACTGCTTCTCCAGGACAATTCAGCAAGGAAGGTATGTCTCCAGGAACACAGACAGGGTGTGGAGAAGATGGTCTCTGCAATCCAGATATGTCTTCCAGGAGAGACCCAGCTAATACCATGTTCTTGTTTCAGACACTATATAACTCCATCAAGAATGAGAAGCTGGAGTGGGCCATGTAAGTATACGTTAAACATTTTAGAGCTAGTGTGTCTTTCAAAGTAGCTGACAGGTCTTGAGTCATGTTTTTAGCCCCAGAAGCTCCCAGAACATATCCTGCCAAGCCCTAAAGCACTGAAGTCCCTCCTGCAGGCAAGCTGGGTTTATTTATGGCTTAGACACAAAAGCAGACAGGGAATTTGGTGGCAGTCTTTGAACACAGGGTCCACAAGCATGTTCTAAAGGAAAGGAATGCCCTCTTTTGTTTACTATTACACATATAAAATGCTGGTCCTTCTCCAGGTGCTTCAGAGGTCTTTGCACAAGTAGCTCAAGATCTGGGGTTATTTTGGTCACTGAGACTTTCCACCTCTTCCACTTAGTTTCTTCTGGAAATAGTATCAGAGAAACACTCAGGCAGGAAGGGACTTTTTGAGATCTCCAGTCCAGCTGCCTTCTCAAAGTATGGTCAACAATGAGTTCAGATCAGGATGCTCAGGGCTTTGTTCAGTTTGATCCTGAAAACCTCCAAGGACAGAGATCCCACAGCCCCTCTGGATCCATGAACCAATGATTAATTATGCTGAAAGTGACTTTTTTTTTCTATCCATTCGAAACCATGGTTGTTTTGATTTATGCCCACTGTCTCTTGTCCTCCTGCCATGCACCATAATGAAGAGCTTCGCTTTCTCTCCTCGATAACCTCCTCACATATTGGAAAGCTGCTATGACGTCCCCCAAAGCCATCTCTTCTCTAGACTGAACAAGTCCAGTTCCCTTAGTCACTTCTTACATTGCAAGTGCTCCAGCCCCCGGGCATCATGATGGCCTCTGCTGAGCTCTCTCCACCTTGTTGTTGCCCTTTCCTGTACTGGGGACCCAATACTCTTTACTGTATCAAGATAGGATGTAATGAGTGCAGAGTAGAGGAGGATGATCACTTCTCTCAGCCTCCTCACTGTGCCGCTGTTACACAGCCCAGAATGCTCTTGGCATCTGTTTCTCCCAGGACACACTGGATGGCTTCTGTTCATCCTGCTGTTCACCGTGAGCCCCAGGGCCTTTTCTGCAGAGCTGCTCCCAGCCAGTCAGCCCTGGACAACCCTTCTGCAGGACCACTCCACCCCGGTGTAGTAGCACTTGGGTGCTACACTGAGTCAGGCTCCTGTCCCTCTTGAGTGGTGGCCCTGTACCTCTCATTTTCATGTCATCCACAAACTTGATGAGATGCACTCTGTCTCCTCCTCCAGATTATCAATTTTTTACCATGAAACAAGTCTGGGAACAGCTAGCATGGTGGCCTCCATGACAGGTTCACACAGCACCTTCCTCAGTCCTTCTTCCCCTGCTCTGCTACCCACCCCCTGCCCAAAGCACTGGCTAGGACCCTCAGAGAGGGGCGTTCTCTGCTCTCCAGCCCCAACCCCTCCCCACCACTGCCGTGGGGAAGCCCATGACAGACCTAGGGCCTTAAGCTGACACAGTGGATATTTCTTTCTCCTCTCCTCCTCTCCTCTCCTCTCCTCTCCTCTCCTCTCCTCTCCTCCTCAGCCTCAGACCTCTCTGGTCTCCAGAGGGTTGTGGGACTGAGCAGGACCTTCTGGGCCATTAGCTCCATCACCTGCTCTTCTCCTCATATTGTCCTGGCGAGAAAAGTGTCTGGAGACCATTTGATCCTACATCCCTCCCCAACTATCTGAGTCAAGCTTTGCAGAGTGGGAGCTTCCATTGCCAGCCATGCTCGGATGGCAGCAGTGCTCACTGTGGGCCAGTGTCTCCTTCAGGAGAGACACAGCCAGCCAGTGGTGCTGAAGGCCAGTGATTTCTTAGTGGGTCACGTAGCATCGATTTCACTTTAAAAATAATCTTGCATGGCATCTGCATGAGAGGAACGCAGCAATGACAGCTCTGCAGCAGAGACAAGGTTGTGGGTGGACATAGTCACGAGAGGGAGCTCTGTAGCTCCGCAGAAGGTGCCGGTGAGACGGTTTATGTAAGGGGAGTTCAGCAGAAGTGCATCTGCTGGCTGGATGCGGGCAGTGGTTACACAACGCCTGACAGCACAGCCTCCCTGGCTCAGGCACATCCCAGGGATGTCAGCCCCTGGGGTCCCTCCATGCAGCCGTGCAGTTCCAGTCAGCAGCATCTAGACCCCATCCTGCCATCCTCCACGCACCCCGCTTGTATCATTGCACCCCCTCATTCACCCCACACTAGCCTGGGACTTGCCTTACTGCAGGGTGTCCTGCTTGGTTGCAGATGGACAGGCTGCAACACGACAGACTTCAGCTCCTCTGCTGTGGGACAGATGCTCCCCGACGTGGGGTACCTGATTTTGTTTCAGAGACGTGGCACTGAGTCATAACCTTGCACAGGCAAGACCTTCTTCGCCCTGCTTGCCTCTGCCTTCTGTCCTTGTGCATCCCAGGGAACAAAATGCCCTTGCTGACAAAGCCTAATTGGGCAGGCAGGTATACCACCACCATCCTAGCAGTAAGCAAGATCTCAGAGGGGTCCCTCTGGTGCAGCTCAGAGAACTGAACCCCACTAACTCCCCACCCAGGTGTAGTGTTCTGGGCTCTGACTAAGCCCCAGGACTCCTGTGGGTGCTGAGGACTGACAAATCATTCTTCTCTTCCAAGAAGTGTCTGATGCTTAGGCCATCTACTTGCTGCAGGTGGGGAAGTGTGGTATTTTAGTGCTCACATCCCAGCTAGTGGATTCAGCCCTGTGTCAATTTAAACATTGACATGTATCACACTGGGCAGAAATTCCCTGTTTGCTTTCCCTCCTTAATGTCCCAGGGACACTGGGAAATACCACTTCCTATACAAGTTCTGATTTCTATGCACCTGAGTGGGTTTTACTCCAAACAGGCTTGGTGGCATCATCAGACACTTCTCTAAGACGCTCAGCCCTTGCTGTCCAGGGTCCAGGACCAGGAGATCTGTGAGGAGAAGCAATTTTTGTGGCAATGACCAGCATTTCTTGCTCTCTGCTGGCCTGCCCTGAGGACATAAATGGGGAGCTGATGTATAACCTATTCCAGAGTTTGTGTTTTTTGATCAAGTGGCCCATGTCCCTAATGTCTGCAGAGCTTTTGTTCCTCAGAGATGCAGAGGACATTCCTCAAGCTCATTCAGCATCTAGGAGGCCCCAGGGACTGCCTCTCAGAGGCTGAGAAATCCCGGTGATACCTGGACTTCGTCAAAGAGCTTCCTTAAGCTTTGGTTTTAGGGCACAGAATTGGAGGCTCTCCCTTTGAAATGCTTGTAGCCTTCAGCAATGGTGTGTCTGAAGTTTACTGGTGTTCAGACAAGCACCCATTCCCTTACCTGTTTTGAGTAACCTCACAGTGGGACCACTGGGACAGTTACTTGCCACCAACGCTCCTCCTAGATCACCACCATTGGCACACTCTGCGTGTTACAGTCCCTGCATCTCCTTTCATTTTCTCTCTCTTGTAATAAATAACTCTGAAACCAAAGCAGATAAGGCACACTGTGGCCCGGCCCACATGTCCTCCACTCAATCTCTTCTCTGACTTTGTTTCCAAGTGATGAGGACGAGTTGAGGAAATCACTCTCGGAGCTGGTAGATGACAAATTCGGAGCCAGTGCGAAGAAAGTCACAAGGATTGTTGACAGCAGCAACCCCTTCCTGGACATCCCCCAAGCGCTGAATGCAGTCACCTACAAGCACGGTGTCCTCACGCGTAAAACCCATGCAGACATGGATGGGAAGAGAAGTACGTGTTAATGGGACAGAAGGAAGTGTGCCCTAGGTGGTACCAGAGCCTGCCCTAGCCTTCTCCCTTGCTTTCCTGCGGAAGGCATTTCCTTACCGCATCCCAGGGAACACAAGAGAGATCCCCAGATCCATGAATGCCAGGGCACAGGGAAAGGAATGTGTTTTGAGGCATTTGTAGACATGAATGTCTCAGACATTTGTAGACATAGGATGCTGCAGTCTTCCCTTCTCATTGCCAAGGAATCTAGCAGTGCCTGTCCCACACAGATAGACCTGGTCTTCCATCCTGTTCATGGGCATAATCCTGGATCCCACACCCTAAGTGATGGAGTGAGGCTGGTTCCACAACAGTTGTCCACCCCAGCCCTGGCCTTGGGGACAGTCTGGTCTTCAAAGCTTTGTTCCTGTCCATATTCTGCCATGTGCTGGAAACAGCTGCTGTGTGCCTGCTGGGCAACAGGATGCATCAGAGCTCTGCTGTCAGCATATGGGATTACAGGAAAGGTACAGGAAAATATATTTGGGAACTGTTAATGAGCAGAGATTAATGAAACCTTGGATAACCCCTTTTGCTAATTGATATGACTGGCCCAGTCACAGCAGCCAATTGAAAGTCTTGAGTACAGATTACCACCAAAGGTCTCCCTTGCTTCCAGCATTTTCTTAATAGCCCATGCCTGGAGGATCAGATGTCTTGTGGTGAAGTAGATGGCTCCCCTCACCTCCCGCCCCTCTCCAGCTTCCAGCAAGCTCTCTGTCCCCAAGTCCGTCAAGATGGCTGGTGGTAATGCTCCCTCCTTAGTGGAACAGAAGCTGCCTTATCCAGGGTATGTCTGCCTAACTCATTTGAAGCAGAGGAGCTCAGGGAATGTCTCTGCTCCTCAAGCATTTAGTCCAAGGAACATGAACCTGGGTTTGGAGGAGCAGAGACTTCCTGCACGTGTCCACTGGTACCCCTATACCAGATCATCTCTGGTTTTGACCTGCTTGTGTTCCTGCTGGGAGGCTGCATCTCCCAGCCCATGTGTCTCAAACACGTGTCCCTGCAGACAAGCCACTCATAAGCAATAGCATGGAGGTATATGAGGTCTGGGCATCAGTGCATGCCTGTGGTGGGTCAGGAGAAGGGTTGGTTTCACCAGAAATGTGAAGGTCAAGCAGCACTGGCAGAAGCAGACATACATAATTAAATGTTCTTCCTTTTTTAGCTCCCAGAGGAAGAAGAGGTTGGAAGAAGTTTTATGCTGTGCTTAAAGGGACCATCCTTTATTTACAAAAGGTAACCATGGTGGACTATCCCATTTGCTGTTTCATGCTGTCTCCAGAACAGTCACGCTGTCCTACGCAGCAGACCCACAGATGCAAGTAGAGGTGAATCCATGCCCTAATGCATACATGGACATCTACAGAGTTCCTCCAGAGACCAGTATACAGACTGGAGGATGCCATCATCTTTGGTGGTGGTGTTCATGCTAAGGGTGCTATTCAAAGCCTCAAAAGAGGGCTATACAGCAAGCAGTATGAAAGAGGGAACATTGAGGCAAGATTTCTACAGAAGTGCCCCAGCAAGTAGGAGCTGTTGGGGAGGATGAATGAACAGATGATGTGGAATACGTGAAATAGGATGTTGGTGAGACACGTGATAGGAAGTTGAAGAGGCTTAGCATCAGACCAGTCTTATCCTGCCTGTTTTATTTTCTAGCACAGATCTGATTATGAGCATCTTCACTGAGTCTGGTACGGACCATGCTTAAAGTTTCTCTTCTCCTTCAGGACCTTGCTGAGCTGGGTCCTTCCATGGGTTGCCAAGTGACACGTTCTGCCTCTCTTCACCTCTGTTTATTCTGTATCCACCTCTAGTCAACACAAGTATAAATCCCAGGTCCTCATGGGAGGCGAAGTCACGATGGAAGAGCTTCCCTGCATGCTATAGCATTCAGCTCACTGCCTTTCAAGATAATTGGATGCTAGGAGGATTTCCATGGATAGTCTTTTCTGTGGGAAAATTCAAGGAGCCTGGATAGGGGCTCACTTGAATGTCAGTGTCAGCCAGCCAGGGATGCCAAATGTCTGTTCATCATGCAATAGCATAACCCACTGAACTAGGTCTGAACTACCTTGGTAGCACATGCTGTGCAGTAACCCATTGAACTCACCTTGCTGGAACAGCACTCCCTGTGGGTAGATGTTCCTATGTATTGCAGCATCTCCAAAGCAATGAGAGTAAACAAACATTGGATTATATAAGAAAGGCAAAAGGATCCTCAGGGCAACATGGAATTATGACTCAGAGCTGGTAGCACACCCCAATGATTCTCATGTTTTGCCAGATCCTATGGCACATGTCACAAAGCCAACAGAAATCTGGCAGCAGCTGAGCGTAATTTACAGTATGGGTTGCTGCTGGCCAAGTGGTATTTTTACAGCTTTGACATTCTCTTCTGCAGCTGAGGGATGCTGCAGCATACAGGAGAGCCCAGATCTTCTCTAGCCCTCTAAGTGTGGTGGTCTTCAAGTCAGTGGCACTCTTCTTATATCTCAGCCTCTTGTCTCGTAACAAGTCTCCAGACGGAGTCCACCAAAGAGGTCCTCGTGCTGACCATGGTGATGCATGAGGATCTAACTTGTACAGAACTACCATCACCATTTAATTTTAGGACAGTTTTTCTATTAAAAAAAAAAAAAAGGCCAAAAAAAAAAAAAAAAGCAAGCAATTTCCTCAAAATCACAGGAATTATTTGGATCTAAATGAATTTTTCACCAAGGACTTCTAGGGCATGTCTCTTAGATAAGTGTGTTGAGGGGGTATATATTTGGAATGAAATACACTTTCAGAACAGAATTTGCTTCTAAGATTTGGCTAGGTTATGAAAGTGTCTGACAAATAACAGCCATGACTGATGTGTAATTAGCAGGAGGGACTGGAATTGCCAAGGGTGCCCCAAGGAAGCAGCATTTGGAACAACAAAAATTAACCTGAGGAACGTTTGGGCAAAGAGGGATTTCTTAGTCATGATTTGCTGCCCGACTTTATATGGTCCTCTTCAGAGGATTCCTTGGGCTGGGCTTGGCTGTAGATAGTCTCTATCAGGCTTGCAGAGACAGGACAGAAGGATGAGACCACAAAGTCCTTGCCCTACTACTTCCAAACATTCCCAGCACCACAACAGAGAGTGGATAAACATCCACCTGCCTTGTCGAGTCTCAGTGCAATTTCTTGCCAATGGGTTGGTTTGCAGAACAAGAGAGTTGCACAATACAGGAAGGAAATGATGTGACAGCCTCCCAAGCTTTCAGCGGATAAACTGCCTGCAGATAAACATAAGGTAGAACTTGGCTTGAGCGCAAATCACTGGGAAAAGATTCTCTGATGTGAAGAAAGAGGAGAAAGTACCTGCTTCCAGACCCACCTGACACCATGGAGCACAGGTTCAGCCTTCTCCCGTTTTTCACTGTGACCAAACCAGGGGTCTAGACTTTAATAGGAAATTCCTATAAGTTTAAGAGGAAACTCTAATCAATTTGGTTTTGGGGAGCTAGTTGAGTAGAAATAAGAGTGAGAGAGAGAGGGAAGGGGAAGAAGGGCCTGGGAAGACAGATGTATAGACAGGATGAACGGCCAGATACAGAGAGGTGGACATAAGATAGGCAGAAGAGGGGGTGGGTGGGTGGACAGATAGAAGTCAGTCTGTTAGAAGCAATTCAGGCAACAGCCATAAACCTGCTGATGTAGAGATGTCACATGTCATTGATTTGCCAGTATTAATTGCTGGATTAGCATGTTCTAGCACAGTCTGCTGAAGCAATTGCTTGATCCCCTAAAGGGATGCAGCACAGTCTTGAGGAAGAAATGCAGGCTTGGGAGCAGGGCACACCTCTCCTGCGTTCTAATCTGTACTGGGCACTGACTCACTTGGTGGCCTTTGGCAACTTACTTCATCTCTGTGAAATGGGGATAATAACCCTTAATCACCACACACAGAGGGGTGTTGAGAGGAACGATGGAGAGGTATAAAGCGTGATGTCCTTTTATATGGACGTACTGGAAAGCATACAGGTCTTCCCACAGGGTCTGCCCTTGCAGCCCTCAACCATGAAGGAGTTACCAGCACAGCCCCAAGCCATGGATTCTGTCCCATGCAGGCAAGCCCTTGCCATGGTAGTGCGACTTGGAGCACCAAGTTCATGACCCAACTGAAAAGAGTGCAGTGGTTAGTTTTCCACATTGAATGGTTTGGTTAGGCTAGTAGGTGTGAGCTGAAGAAAAGGAAAAAGAGGAAAACCCACTCACAAGCCAGAGCCTGAGACATCTCTGTAGCTCCATGTCCATATTCACATCACTGCTCAGTGTGATGAATCCACAGGAGAGGGCCACAGAACCAATGCACTGGGCTCTCTCACCCCATCCAGGTGCCCTACAAAGGCAGGCACAAGAGGTACATACCTTTTCTTGACAAAACAAGCTTTGAGCTGGGGAGGTCATATTAGTGGTGGATCTCCCACCACCTGCTGGCAGGGCTGGGCAGCAGGGGAGAGCTGGCATCAGAAGAGTGAACCAAAGACACTAGGTAGCACTACTATGACAGAAACTAAGCCCAGGCAAGAGGGTGGTCTGTGCATGTTTAAGCAGAGCCTTTGTGCAGGTGGGAGAGGTACATATCTCTCTACACCATCAACTGAAAAACCAAAGCTGAAAGTGAGTGAAATGAATTTAGAGGGATTCTGAAACAAAGTGCCCATAGCAGGGCTCAATTCCTGCAGAAGATACCCCCAAAATAGACCCTGAAAATTGATGACCCCCACCATCCTACACCTGGAGAAGCAAGGGAAAAATAAACATGTCACTATTCAGGGCCAGGGGGCTAAGGATAACTGGGATGGTGTGGCACAGTGTACCTTGCCCATTTCACAGTGACAAGTACTTGTGTGAACAGAGCAGGACACATAGGACAAAAATTCAACAGTACAGTGATACCAAATTAACCCCTCTGCCAGGAAACGTATGGCGGGATAACACCATGAAAAAGGTGAGAGTGACATTAGTGGTACTATAGCATGGACAAAACATTGCCTGAAATTGCTCCAAATATGATACTGCTTATGTTTTAGTATAGATCAGTTTCTTGGAGATTTAAACCTATGTTACTATTATGTTTTTGGACATGTCTTTTCCTCAGCAGCAGTTTATGCACACACTTAAACTGACATCAAAACTCAGAAAGGAGTGAGGCAAAATGTAGAGAAACTGCTGGAGGCTTTGGAGCAGAGCTGACATGCTTTGCTGAAGGGCAATGGGATTATTCTCCAGGGGAAGGCTACATGGTGTAGCCTACACTGCGGTGTAGTGTTGGGCACCGTAATGGCTGCAGCCGTGTGTGGGTGGCATCATACAGCCTTGGAGCTGTTTGCGGAGGGAGCCTGTTTAAGAGCACACAGAGGTCTCCCAGCATTGGCAGCCATCCATATCATCATGACTACGGCAGCACAGGCTTATCCTAAGATGAGCTTCCTGGCAGAGCTGGCCCGTGCAGAAGTGAGCCTCCAGCATCATGCACTCCTGCAAAGGCAGTCTGTTTCCACCAGCTGAGAGGCAGAAGGTAGAGAGAACCTGCTTCATTCAACCTTATGCTGATTTACTGGGCCCAGTGTTAGAAAAAGAAGATGATTTGGCTTTACCTTACACCTACATAGATGCCTGTGAACCTGAAATCAGTAGAGGCAATACATGATGATACCATTTGAGGAGAAGACGTGCATTAGTCAAACCAGTTCACAGCTGTGTCAGTTTCTCCCTGTTACATGCCATTAAGCCTAGCTATTTGCACTGTGTTTTCAGAAAGCTTATTTTGAAATTAGAGATCATGAGCATCACAGTCAGATTTATTCAGATCCAAAGAGCTTCAGCCTTGGAAAAACATCCAGAATTGAAATTTTCTCTGCAATACATGAGGCCTGAGCAGCAATGTGTTCCTCAAGCGACTATTTGTTTCCAAGTAGGGTAACATATTATGTCCTCATAAGGCAAAGCATTTGTTTTTCTTTGTTAAAAGGCTAATGGCCCATTCCTCTGGCTACTGAAATCCCCACTGTGGAAAGGTCATCTATGCTGCCCTGCAGTGCAGCCCATGGGAATGTCACCCTGAACGCAGGGTCCTTTGCTGGAAAGCCAGGGCTTTTCTTTGGGGTTCACCTGTAAGAAGGCAGTTGCATGAGCCCGGAGCCCATGCCAGACGTTTCTGGCCTCAGGGCATTTCTTTGCACAAGGCCAAGTATCCTGTGCTGGTGAACACAGTATGGCAGCCACTCTCCCAGATGGGATGATTGCTTCTAAAAACGACGGAAGGAAAGGCTTCAGAAGCTTATTTCCCATCAGGAGCAAGGATCTGGGTGAGCCACATTCATGGGCTGGGGAGTGCTGGTCCCTGGTGCTCTGAAGAGCAACAGAGGGAAGACCTTTCTGACCCTAAACCAGGGAACAGCCTTACTGACCAGGGTTGGCAACCAGGAGACTGTAGCATGGTAGCATTCCCTGAATGGCTGGATTTGTACCACCAGGACACAGGAAAAAACATTTTTTTTGCAAACCTGTAGAACAGACCAAGCTCTAGCTTGAAACCTAAGGAGGGGCTGGGACACATAGACCACCGCCATTGGACAGAGCCACCCCTGTGCTGACAGCCAAGGACAGTCAAGGAAAGCAAAAGATAAAAGCGAGTTAGTCCGGTAGGTTTGCACTGTAATCAGCAGGGCAGGGCAGGCCCTTCCAGGGATACCCTCTCCTGACATGGGCTCTAACATGGTCGGGGGTGGTATGGTCATGGTTTGTTTTAGCCAGGGCCAGGTTTTCTTGCATCCATTTATCTATGCATGCATGCATCCATCCATCTGTCCATCCTTCTATCCCACCACCCGGCTGGACCAGCTGTTGAACTGGCAAGGGCGCAGAGCAGGAGGGAGGGTATTGCTTTAAGTGGCCGGGACCTCAGTCACTGGGAAAGCGAAAGGTAAACACAGGATTGATTCAACTTTTTTTAAAAAAAAAAAAATGCTGTGCCAAGATCATTCTTTCAGAGTCCCATGTTCAGTGTTTTCTATCTGTTTGTAAAATATATACATACATAGTTATTGCTACATTCCCTACTTGTGTGAAATTGTCCTTTGGTGGAACAAGTAAAGCAGGAATACAGGGAATGCTGCTGTGATTTGCAAGTGCCAGTCTAAAGAATTATATGAGGGACCATGCCAAAGGGGTACACGTACTAAAGAGAGGCCAAGCGTGGTCCAAGTGCGCCATGCTCACTCCGGCAACTGCCCAGCAAGCCCCACACCTGCACGGAGGTGCACTGGCTGCAGGAATGCTGCTGTTCCAGGGCTGCCCGAGCTGGTGCAAAACAAGAGCCCTGATCCTCCCACCACACAAAGCTGCAGCACCAGGGCAGGCACTCGCTGATACCTGCCGACAACCAGGAGTTGCATCCTGGCTTGAGCTCTGCACTATGGGTGAAGCTCTGCAGAAACCTGGCCCTGTCTTGTGCCTTCCCCAAAGCCTCGGGCATGTGCTGTGTTAAAGATAACTATTGATAATTATGTTTAAAACTTTCATCTCCTTCTTCGCATCTTCCCAGTGAACTTAATGATGGAAGAAGTTGCCAGATGTTAATTATTATCATTATCAGCTCCTAGCATTTACTGTACAAAGCAGTGCTTTTCCTGGTCTTAGCACTCTGTGATTATAGCACAGAGAGAAAGGCAGGTTCATTAAAGTAGCCCACAAATGTTAGTGTTGTCATTATCCAATTAACATTCCTCTTCACAGGATGAATATAAACCGGACAAAGACCTCTCTGAAGTGGATTTGAAAAATGCCATCCGTGTGCACCACGCCTTAGCCACGAAAGCCTCTGACTACAGCAAGAAGTCCAACGTGCTCAAGCTGAAGACAGCTGACTGGAGAGTCTTCCTCTTCCAGGCCCCGTAAGTACCAGCTCTTCCTGCAGAGCCTGGACGGGCAACCTGACCTCCAGCCACCACCAGACTCCCTCTGACCTGGCCAGATCAACACATGCATTAGGGGACAAACCTGGGCGGGGGGAGGAAGGTGCTGAGCAGGGGGGCTGAGGGTGAGGTCTGTAGGGCTGTGCAAAGGACTTGGCTGTGGGGTCACAGTTTCTGCTGGTCACTTTTGGTCCTGGAGGTCCTTTCTCATCTGTCACCAAGGTGGGCTGAGCAGGATGGGCTGGGATGTAAAGGGCTGAGTAAAGGGCTCCCCTTACTAACTTCTGTTGTCAGTCTGTGGAAGGGACAACATCTATACAGTGCATTGAACTAAGGAGCTGATGGTTCCCCTTGCCAGCTTTTGATGGGGGACCTGTCTAAAGCTCGTTAAAGAAGTCTCCCCAGTCAGGCTTATCTTCTTTCTTTGTCAGTCTATTGCAGAGGAAAGTTGCTCTGCTGATAAGTGTCGAGTGTGATTGAGTCATCTTCTGTCTGATGTTTTTCTTGTCTCCTGCTGAGATAGGTGACATTGTAAGTTGGGCTGGGGTATGAATGTCAAGCTAAAGTTTGACATCTGAATTTGTGCAGTGAAAACCCACTCGAAGGCTGGGGGGAGCAGCACCTGAACAGATCTGATGAGGAACCCTGGGCAGTGTCCCACGAATGACACAAATGAGGGGTCCACCCTGCTCCGTGGGACCTCTGTTGTGTGGCTTCCACTCTCCAAAGAGCAGGATATCCTTGACCCTTGCCACCGTGCTACCTCTCCTCAGTTCCTCAGTGACTGCAATCAGAGATGATGAGGAAGGCAGGACTTCCAGGGCTTCAAGAGACAGACAAAAGCCCTGAAATCATTAAGGCACTGTAACGGAGCCAATTAACTGGCGTTTTCCTCTGTTCACAGCCCAGGGTGGCACAGAAATGGCTTCAAAGCATGGCCCTCCTGAAAGTGGCTGGCTCTGGGGCTGTTCTGAGCTGGCTGGTCCCGGGTCAGGACCATTTACAGACACCTCTTCTTTTCTCTCCTCCTTCATAACAGAAGTAAGGAAGAAATGCTCTCCTGGATCCTGCGAATCAACCTTGTTGCTGCTATTTTCTCTGCCCCAGCCTTCCCAGCTGCAATCTGCTCCATGAAGAAGTTCTGCCGTCCGCTCCTGCCTTCGTCCATGACAAAGTTGTGCCAGGTAATGGATGAGAGAAGGAGTGATGGATGGGTGCCCAGCACTCACCAGCCCTTTGGCATGCAGCTCAGGCTGAGCCCGTCTGCAGCTCCCTCAGCTCCTACCTGATAGACACATTCAGGGCAGTGAAGTGGGTGACTTGGACAGTCAGTGGCAAATCCCAGTGTCTGGCCAATGCTTCCTTTGCAATGGCTATAAAGCAACCCTATGCACACACTCCTGGCTGTATGGTTGTTGTCTCTGGCTTGTTTATTGGCCTTTGCCCATCATATCCCAGCACCTTTCTGTTACTGGAGTTGAAACAGCTGCTGCTACTGAGCCCAAGAGCTGGCAACAGCCCTGGTTTATTTTATAACATGGCACTCAGAAGTGGCACCCTGTTGTTTCTCGTGTCGAAAAGCCACAGACAAAGGGGAAGTTCAAGTCCCACTCGGTGGGGAAGATTTTCTGGAAACAAGGGGACATGGTGCACCAGACCATGGCTGCCTAAGGCTCAGTTAACCTAGAGCAATGGGCAGCTGCCATCCAAAGAGTAGCTTTTGTTTGCACTGTCCAGGGAAAGCCCAACATGCCTTAGCATCTCCAAAAAGTAGGGACACACTGCCACTGGCCCCCAGCAAACGGGAGGACAGCCTGAAATGTCAGAA